ACATAATATGGTATCAGAATTCTGGAAATTATGAATCCAGACAGTAGTACTCATTACTTTTATCAATAAAACCAATTAAAGCCAAGCTTGCTAGGAATTCTGGGTGGTGTACTTACAGCAGATCTGAAGAACTCATAAAACATTTTTAGAATTGCTTTTGGGCAGAAGGTTCTGGGTTGATACTCTTAGCAAGGCAAGATGAGAGGCTTCCTAGGTGTAATAGTTTCCATGGAAAAAATATGCAAATAAAAATAGTGTTCTAACAGAAAATGGGGCGTGAATATATTCCAGTGGAAAAATTGCCCTCTTCAGTATTAGAGGTCTTTTTTTTTTTAATCCTCAGTCTAGTATTTTGCCACAAATTACTGGAAAGCTGTTGAAATGCCACATTTCCCAGAAAAATGCTAAAAGCGTACTTTGGATGGGGGAGGGAGTTCTATGGAAACCCTTCTTAAATTGATTTGCTGCCTTAAAGTGGTAAATGGCTGCTAAATATATAAGTGTACAGCAATTTACATGCCGGCTGAGGAATTCTGGGAGTTAAAGTCCACAAATGTTAAAGTTGCTAAAGATGAAAAAGATTGGTCTAAAACACAGATTATTTACAGCAGGGGTCATCAACCTTGGCCAACTTTAAGACTTGTGGACTTCAATTTACATGCTGGCTGAGGAATTCTGGGAGTTGAAGTCTACAAGTCTTAAAAGTTGCCAAGGTTGAGGACCCCTGATTTACAGTATCCACTGATTAGCCTCATAAAATTTTAAATTGCCCTTTTAGACTAAGGTTGGGGGAAATAAGCCTGCTGGAGCTGACTTTGGAGATGTCCTGAATTCTGCTGCCAACGCCAGTGCCACAGAAGCTACCCCAAAGCAGACTGAAGAGGAGACTCAATGATTGCCTCACCTTTGTACTGTCCACTGTCAGATGCTGCAAGCAAATGCTGAAGTGCATCACCTCTGCTATTGATTCCTCCAGAGTGTTCTTCTGTTTAGCACTTAGCTTTCTAAATATTTAATAGTTTCTTGAGGTTCAGAGTATTTTTGAACTAGGAAAATACACTTGCCTTTGTTAATCTGCAGGACAGGAATTTTTATGTATTTTGAGTATTAGGCTTAATTCCGGTCTAGGTAATCACTAAGTTACTGCATTACAAAAAATTAAAAACAGAGCTGGAACATTATGCCCATGTGACATTTACATTATGAGTCATCACTTCATGTCTGCTTTCACAGACAAACCTTGGAAGTCTTTGTCTAGCCATTAAGTGGATATTAATTGATATTCTTTGGCCAAATAAATTGGCCAAATTAATTAATATTCTTTGGCCAAATAAATTGGTTTGGGTTTTGCAATGGCTATTGTACCACTTTTCTTTTGCAGTTATGAAAGCTGAAGATGGGTAGCTTCCAAGCATGTCATCTGTGATTTATTGAAATTCTCCAGAAAATATGTCTTTTGACAGATCTCAGCCTGAAATACTTTTTTTTCCTTCAAGGTTACAAGTGGATTTAATTGTTTTTGCCTTGTCTACTGAATGTTGCAGAAGTAAAATGAGTTTATAGGCATGAAGCAGATGATAAATGTAAAAGCTTAATACAGCTTTCAAATCATTCCATGCTAATTAAAAGTGTTATATGTTTATTCCACTCTCATGAATTTAAATTATGGGAGAGTATATTTCATCCTCCTCTCCATTACTATTGGTAGAAGCTGTGGGCAGTTTGTACACATGTGTATGTGGATTCTGGGAGTTTGCATCTGTAAGAAAAGGCCTTCAATGAAATAGGAGCCTGTCTAAATTGAAAATCCATATTGAAGCTTGAGAATATATTTAATATTGCAATCATAGGTCAATTTCATATATAAAATATTAATTAAATTTGTTGCTCTAAAAAGATTTATATGTTTTATTTTCTGGCACATTATAAAACATATTTTGAAGATGTTTTTGCTTCTTTTAATCACCAAGCTTAAACTAGAACTAGAACACATCCTTAAGATGCACCGTAACTTGGGCTTTGACTTTATAGCTGCACCAAAAAGGCTACACATCATATAAGTCAACTTACGCTGTATTTGGCAGCTTTCTGTAGCATTTCAGATTTAGTCTGAGTACTTGATTACGTATACAAATAAAATGCATTGTATTGTCAAACACAAAAGGCTATCTGAATGTTTTCAAACATGGTTTTATATTTCATACAGTTCATTTGTATACATATTGAAGTTCAGTTGGATATTAGTTACTTTAAAATACTTAGCTATACTTCTTAACATAGTTTTCCCAGGATCTGCTTGTTGTCATTATATGAACTTGTTTAAAGAATTAAGTAGGCAGTTTTCTGATTTTTGATATATCGGACCAAAGCTTTATTTCTTGCACATCCAGCTTTTAGGTACTCTGTTTTTCCACAGGTTTTTCTCTTGCTTTACCATGCCTTCTAGCTCTATTCCACCACCCTTTCCCAGGTCCATTGGAACTAAGTTGTGCTGGGTATAGGTCCTTTTAACAAGAGAATCCCTTCTTAACTATTCCAGTCAGTTTCATATAGTGTGATTTTGTTTTTGTTTACAACAACCTTGTTCAGTTGAATTTTTCCCTATTTATATAATCAGGCTGTACTTCTTGCTGTGCTTTGGACTCATATGCCCTTCCACATACAAACAAACTCTGCACTGCAATTGCAGTTAGAACTTTTGTAAAATAAATATTGGCTTCCAACTGGTATGTTAGAGATTAGATAGTGGAAAACAAAATGAAAACTGCCATGTAAAGAAGCAAAATAGGATTATAAGATTATAAAGTATTTTATAATCTTTGGCTGTATGTGTGCACGTGGTCATAATCATAAACAAAGCAGCATTATACAATTTTGGATTATAAACCATGTGATAAATAACTATTACAGATAAAATTTAGTTTTCCTTACAAATGGAGATATATTTTGACGCAGCCTGATACTGAGACATCATAAGGTACAACACAGAGGATATAAGAATGAATGAAATGAATGAATGAAGCTGTGTATGCTCCAACACTGGAAGTTTTTAAGAAGAGACTGGACAGCCATTTGTCTGAAATGGTATAGGGTTTCCTGCCTGAGCAGGGGGTTGGACTAGATGACTTCCAAGATCCCTTCCAACTTTTTTTTATTATTATTGTTGTTGTTGTTATATTTGTTTTAGGAAATCATTCTCCACAGGTACAATAATTAATATAGACAGATACTATCAAACACTTGATATTCCAAGAATGGATTTGCAGATAAGTATTACATTCGGTCCTTTTGCCAATTGATTGATGGCTTGAATGGTTTTAGATGGCATCCTAAAAGTGCTAAATCCAGGATCTCCTCTTTGAAAAGCTTATTTATCCTCCAGATACTCTAGGTCAAGGGTGTCAAACTGCCAGTCCGTGGGCTGGTTTCATCATACCGGAGCCGCGCCCACCCCATTGCTGGCAATAGCGAAAAAGCTCCGATAAGTTGCGCGACATCACTTGACGTCGCGAGTTTGACATGTCTGCTCTAGGTACTGACACTCACTGGTGTGCTACTATAACATGCTTAACCAAGTTTAATTAAGATTTATTCCACCCAATTGATTGAATTGCACAACACACAATACAATCTGGATTGTGAACCCACTAGGCCAGTTTGTAGTTGTTAGGTGAATAAAACAAATATTTTAGATTTTAGAAAAACAATTCTTGCCATAAATAACATCTAAGTAAAAACCACAAGGTGGCAGTAGTTGAACAAAAAGACTGAACTCTTGATATAACAACAGTATCTTTTTAAACTTTGGTAACTTAGACACAATTGATTTGGTTACTCTGAATTAAGCAATAGGATGTTCATAGATGTGCAACTATTTTGAGTTTTCAGTTTTACAGTATAATTACCAACCATAGCTTAATTCTGGATATTTTGAGAAAACTTCATGAACATGTTAAAAAGTTGAATGGAAGACTGACATTTACTGATATTTATATGAGAAATGAAGAAACAGATGGAACTGCAAGGCACGGAATTTGAAAAAAAAAACACCTGAAATTCACTTATAGTATAATGCCCTAAGTGGTCCAATGATGTTGACATAAATACCATTAATTGATTTATTAGAAAACGTATTACTAAGGTGTGACATTTTCAAGATCATGAATAGCCTAGTGATTAAGGCACAGGGCTAGAGAGCTGGAAACTGAGTTCATGTCCTGCCTTAACCGTGAAAGCCAGTCACATTCTCAGCCCAACCCACCTTGGGGATTGCTGTGGGGAAAATAGGAGGAAGGTTTGCTGGATATATTCACAGCCTTAAAGTTATTTTTAAAAATAATAAAGTATACAAACAAAAAGAGCATTTGAGAATTCTCTGTCCCAGCTGGGATTCCTACACTCCCTCCTAATTCCTAGCTTTGCTGAGAACGAGCACCTGCTACGTCGCCCTAGAACAGCGGTCCTCAACCTTGGCAACTTTAAGACTTGTGGACTTCAACTCCCAGAGAGGAATTCTGGGAGTTGAAGTCCACAAGTCTTAAAGTTGCCAAGGTTGAGGACCCCTGCCCTAGAACGGGTAGGCAACCTTGGCTCTTTTATGACTCGGGGACTTCAACTCCCAGAATTCCTGAGTTAGCATAGCTCAGCTTGGAAACCTCCCTTTTCCCTCAGCATGGCTGGCTCAGGAATTCTGGGAGTTGAAGTCCCCGAGTCATAAAAGCCAATGTTGCCTACCCCTGCTCCTAGAAAGACCAGCTGAGCTTCCCAAACACGCATCACGTAAAGACACGGCGAAGAGCGCGTGCGTAAAAGCGGCCGAGCGTCAACAACGTTGCGCCTCAGCGGAATGAAGGAATCGGGTTCTGTTCAATCCGAGAGTTTCCCCCCGTGACATCCGGTGAATTTCCGCTCTGTTCCAAACAGAGCCCAAAGCCTCTCCTACTCAGAATCTCTATGATTGTTGTGTGGAGGCGGGTTGGAAAGTTACCACTTCCGGTGTGGGCGGAGTTTGGCCAGCCGCGGTTGGATTTAGTCATGGTAGCTGCCGCTCTCTTAGCTGCTGCTGTTGGGCGATCTCTACATCGGGGAGCTTCTACGGTAGGAAGACGTGTCTCCTGCGCCAGTCCTGGGGTGACGCTTGGCTGTCGCCGGGAGGCTTCTTCAAAAGAAGGGGAAGTTGGCGGCGATAGCGGAAGCAAGGTGCGGCTTTGTGCATCCTTTCTTACTCTTCCCTCGGCTTTCTTTCGCGTGTCCACTTTATTCCGGAACTGGAGAAGTGCAGCCTTAACGGGTCCTTTAAGGTTCTCTAGCCTGAGGCTAACCCTGAATTAGTCCGGTACCTGAAGGCTGCACGGAGTCTTTCTTTTGATTTCTAAATGGGTCATTTTAGAGATTCATAGAAAAGTAATTAAATATTATGGCATATTCAGTCCAATATGTGTATATTTAATTTTCTAGCATAATCTATTCTGTATAGTCAAAGGCTTTTCTGTAAGCAATAATCCAAAAGGAAACTTTTTCAAGTATATTGCTTGCTCTCCATTATTCATTCAGTGTTAACTATCTGGTTTTATGTCCTTCAGCCTTTCTAAAACTTCTCTTTTCATTTGATTTATCTGTATCTACATGTGGCGCTATTTTTAGTAAACAAAACCTTTTCTAAAGAATTTGTGCAATAAATCCAGTAATTTGTATGTTCCTTTGGTTTTTTCTTGTTAGTTTAAGAACACTTAAGTACACCTGTCTTCTAATTTCTAGGCCCAGAGAGATTTGTTCCACATGTGATGACATAGCTATTCCACAAAGATTCTCAATTGACCTTCTGAAATTGTTTTTGTAGTTGGCTTATACACTTTTGCAACAATATGATAGAAAATGATCCTGTTATTTATTGTGTTGTAGCTGAGCATATAATTAATAGTGCATTTTTAGTGTTATTGCCCTTTCATTCCATTTGGGTCTCCTAGATAGCATATTGTATAATTTAAAATTTTCCTGTGCTGCTCAGCTTAACTCAGCTTAATTTACTTTATTCCTAAAATATCCAGTCATATTTGCTTTTTAATATACTATGATCTACTGTGTTATCTCATGCATCTGAGACTGAATGTGGAATTTCACAGCAAATCTTATTCTAAATTTGGAAGAGAATATTTGTATTTCAGGGTTGAACTATGGGGCTCGTTGGTGCTTTCTGAGCTTGATTGTTTTCTTGCAGACATTTAATTACCAAACTAGGTAAGTCTGATGATATTATCTAATTTGGTAATGAGACATCTGCAAGCAAACAACCAAGTTCAGAGACTGCAAAGACCCCACTATTCTAAATTTATTTTTCAAAGTAGAAACCACTCTTACAATTATTTTAAACAGTGATTAAAATCATGTCATATAACTGTTAATACTGTAAAAGAAAGGGCATGTGAAGCTTTGTGAGGAGAGATTTTGAAAAAGCCCTGTTGTTTCATTGTAAGACTAGGCAGATCTTCACTAGAAATGTTTAAAATGCAAAAGTGATATAAAGAACTTTTTAATTTTTTTTAAAGCAGCCTTATATTTTTCTAAGCTTGCATGCCCACTGTGTAAAATGCCCTTGCCTCCAGATGTGTGTATATGCTCATACAATAGGTACAAAATTAGTATGGTATCACATTGTCTAGCCTTTAAGGTGTTCTGTAGCTCTATTTTATACTGTCTGTTTTTTAACTATTATGAAATGGAACATACTGTGTTACATGTTACCTTAAGTGCATAAGGGAAAGATACGTTAATTATTGTGAAGATAATTATTGCAACTAAGTGTGCATGCTCCTGAGATCAGATAGGCTACAGTAGTTCATCATCCTTAATCCTGAGATAGGAAGAACATTCTTGCATAACTCTTTATTTAGGAATAAATAAATGTAACACTACCTAAATCCCCATCAAGATCAATGCTCTTTGAATGAATGAATGTTTCGGATTCTTCGTATGATTGCTGCTACTGTTTCTTAATACCTTTAATTTCTCTATAAAATAAAAAAAATTCTGTAAAAGATTACATTAAGAAATCAAATCTGATAATTTCCTAAATTAAAACGACTGCTTTCTCTAGGTGCCTTCCAAGAATGTGGAATCCTTTGCATCAATGTTGAGGTCCTGTCCTTTAATTCAGATGGGGCCTGCCAAAGACAAAATTGTCACGGGACAAATTTTTTACATATTAGAAGATGATCTGTACATTGATTTTGGTGGCAAATTTCATTGTGTTTGCAAGCGACCAGCAGATGGCAAGTAAGTATAGTCATATTACAGATATTTAGTGTGCATGAAGGTAAATTATATGTATTATAATAAACTATTTTTATGATGTTATCGTTGAATAACATTTCTTCTTCAAATTTCCTAAATATTTCATTTTTTAAAATACTGAGCATTTAAAATTTTCCTTTTCCTTACAAAGAATAGTGAGCTTAAGAGATCATGCATGTGCAAGGCTTCAACAGCATATAGGAACTTTTACATCTTTCTGCCTCTTAAATATGGCAACATTTATACAGAATATCATTTTCCTGATGAATCAACATCCAGAAGAACAGAAAATCAAATTGGTATTCAAGATTGCTCCATTTAATTTTTGAATTTTCCCAGCCAAGACTAAAATTTGGATTTTAAAGGGAGAGAAAGGTATGAGGCAGATCTCCAGAAAGACGCTCAGGAAACAGAAAAGAGTGACTTAGAAAATCAAGCTTGAGAGAAGAAGAAAAAATATTTTGCAGGGGAAGGGGAGAAAGGGGCTCCGGAGCTATGTGCTATCTTTAAGGAAGTAGAGGGAAAGAGCAGAAACTGAGGAGGAAGTGTCCATAAATAAGAGCCATTTATTAGTTCCTTGTTCAAGTTTGAATCTACGAAGAGGACTATTTATGGTTTGTGTCCCAAGAGAAAATACTGCCAAAAATTGATGATATTACTCTTCTCCTTTGAGATAGACTAGGTTAGGAAACATTCATTGTTTATTCATTGGAACTCTATTGAGCTAGCCTATAGCAGTGGTTCTCAACCTTTTTAATGCCGCGACCCCAACCAGTCGTAAGTCGAGGACTAAACCGGTTGTAAGTCGAGGACTAAACCGGTCGTAAGTCGAGGACTAAACCGGTCATAAGTCTAGGACTACCCAACCGGTCGTAAGTCGAGGACTTTCCCTGCCCGGGAGCGCCATGCATGCGTGGTTCCCCCCCCTGCGCCGGCTGAGGCATATCTGGCAAGCGGCAGAGACGGAGCAGGCCGACCACCAGCTGGCCCAGCCTAAGGGAGGTAAGGCACCCGCTGGAAAAGGGGAAAAAAATGGCAGACAAAAAAAATGGCAGACAAAAAAAATGGCGGACAGCCTTGCTTGGCGACCCCCGTGAAATGGTTGATCGACCCCAAATGGGGTCCCGACCCACAGGTTGAGAACCACTGGTCTATAGTAAAAGAATCTTGAAAGCCTCAGAATTTTTCTCCGTTCCCTCCTTCTTATATTCTGGAACTGTGTTCTTAATCTTGGCTACTTGATGTATGAACTTCAACTCCAGCATCATGGGGGTTGAGGTCCATACATCTTTAAGTTGCCAAGGTTGAGACCATACTGCTCCAGAGTATTAAGGCAGAGCCAGTTTGAGAGTTTTTTTCTAATGTTTTAAATGCTGTAATGCTTAAATGCATTTCCCGGGCTTTTATATTTTGTAACTGTTGCTGCATAGTTTTCCCAAGATCATTTCTCTCCACAATTGCGCTCTCCTAAAACATTCTGCTCTTATTCCTACTGTGAATTGCAGTTACCATAATGCCCTTAGCTGTACTAATAGCTGTGTGGAGAAGATGCAAAGATAAGAGCTCCTCATGTTACTAATACATTTTGAGGCAGTTTCTTCTAGTTGAATTGGAATAAGTGAGCCCTTTTTCACAAAACCCAATGTGGGTATAAACTTTTACTGCTTCGTAGCTAGTATGCAAAGTGATCAAATTTAAAGAAAAAATAAAGGGAAAACATATAGGTTATGAATTCTTAAATTCTTTCCAACACTTGTACCCACAATGGCCATAAGAAGCATCTACATTTGTACCCACGGTGGCAATAAGAAGCATCTTTTGTGTACTATAGGGATATGTCTATATTTGTGTTTCTACTCTTTTCCTGGTGTTGCTCTTTGTGGTTTGTTGGTATGCATGCACTAGGAAGCACAGAATGAACCCCATATGCTCTGGGCCATGGGACCAGGAGGGTGTAGAATTGAGCTATTAACAGCATTTTGAACAATTGCCCAAATGCTTCTCCATAGGACTACCCTGGTGGAATATTTTGTAAGACGCTTTTGTCTGGAGTTCTCATCTAGATTTCATCCATTTTCACGCTTGATCTTTCTTTTGCTGGTTGTTCCAGCTTTACCTAATTCGGTCCTGTTCAGAGCATTTTCTGAGAGTGATCAGCTGTTGAATTAGAAGGATGGCAGAGTTCTGAGCCCTTTACATAATTTCTTTCCAGTGTTCTATTCAGATGTGAAGAATAAAACTAATTAAAAGGAAGAGAGAAGGTAGAAAAGAAATTCTACTTTTGTGAATTACACTAAAGTCTTTGAAGGGTCTGAGACCTATACCTATGTGGACTAACCTAAATAGCACCAGCAACTTGATCTGGACATAATAGCTTGTTTCAAAAGCCTTTTCTCTTGGAATGTTATCTTGATAGCTTTCCCCTGAAATCATAACTTGGCTTTTAATATTTTTTTTTCAGCAAAATTGCTGAAGGCCCACCACATTGTATCCAAATTTGTAGTATAAGGTTTTCAGAATTCCTTAATCTCCTGTTATTTTTTCATGCTGTATATTCATTTAAAAGTAGTTATAATTATCATGGTCATGTTTAAATGGTCATATTCTAGCTTTGTAAGTTGGGTGTGTGTGCACGCCAATCATATGTCTCTGAGTGATGGTCAATCATATAAAAAATCAGCAAAGAAAATCAATTCAGCCTAGAAAAAAAATGTAAAAACCCACAAGCATTATACAGGGATCACTAGAGAGAAGGTTGCTGCTTCTTCTAGTCTTGTGAACTTCACAAGAGGTACTCTCTAATGATAACTAAAAGTCAACTTTGGCAAGGCAATGCTTCATGTAGTCCAGTATTCTGACACAAAGGAATTTTTAAGAAATAACTGGTACTTTGAATTAGACTTCAGAATTGCAGCAATCTCAAAAGTGGTACTTTTCTGTTCTGGAGGAATAGTTTTACTAGTCTGGCTATTGCATTCTGGACAAATCTCCAAAGATTGTCTCATATATCAAATGCTACATAAGCCAGTGGGTTGATAATGATGTAAGTTTGGGTGAGTGAAGAAATCTAGATTTATTTGTTATATATGTAGTTGTTATTAACTGCCTTATAATAACATATCACAAAAAAAAGAAAATATAAAAATTGGTAAGCTTCCTACTGCCATAAAATGAGAATGGGCAAAAGATCCAAAAGCAATATAAGATTAAATGTCAAAGACATTATATTACATGATAATTAGTATAATATAAACTACGAAAGAATAAAACAAATGTGTCAAGATCAAGCTACTTCCTGAATTCATTATGTTTTCTCATTTTATGGCTTCTTTATTTGTTTCACTGTCCAAGAAGAGCAAAGGGGCAGTGTGAATATATGTATTCCTTGTTTTCTTACAGTAGCATTTGATCATCAGATGAGGTCAGTATCAAATATGAATGTGAAAAATGTAATTTTATCTGAAATAGTGAGGTATCACATAGGTGATACCTCCCTTTCTGTGGGAGAAAGAGTGGCCGAGCCAGTGGGTCAAATGGAGAATTAGTCTGGAATCCCTATGTGGGCACAAGAGGGCGAAGTCAGATCCCTCTTGAATGCCATTGAACCTTATGTAGTCTCACCCAGGTGCAACTTATCATTCTGAGAAGATTCCAGTGTATGGACTAAAGCAGACATGTCAAACACAAGGCCTGCGGGCTGGATCTGGCTCGTGATGGGCCCAGATTTGAGCCATGGGACCACCCTGGAGATGGCAAGAGACCGGCCCCCACCGCCCTAGCCTCAGCCCAGCTGGGCGCCCCCCCCAGTGCACACATGGGAGGCGAGCACAGGCTGACGGTGTCCGGCCGCAGCCTGCTTGCCTCTCAGCTGGCACACTCGGGGGCTGGCAGCAGGCGGAAGCACAGGTATGGGGGGGTGGCACGTGATCTGGCCCACCAGACACACATGCTCCGTCCCACCTTCTGTCTTTGCGCAGCCATTGCGTCTGACAGACTCGATCATGTCTGCCCTCCCCCCGGCACCTCTGCCTCCGCCTGTTGCCGGTACCAGCACCATGCCTGCTGCTTGGAGGGCAGACCCCAGTCATCGCAGCAAGTGTGCCAGCCGAGGAGCCAGTGGGCTGCTGCTGCTAAACACCATCGGTCCCTGTGCATTCATCACCTCTGCACGTGCCAGGGGGCACCAGGCTGGGCCGGGGCGGGATGGGCTGGTCCCTTTCTATCTCCATTGACCAAATCTTGCTGTCTCACTATCTCCGTGGGCCAAATCTGAACCCTTCAAAGCTAGGCAAATGGCGGGGCAAGGTGGTACCACTCCATATCCCCTGTGCTCTCAACCCCCCATCATCCAACCTCATCCTCCAGCGAGCGCCGTTGAAAGGGCCGGGACACCTGCCATCCAGAGCCCCGGGCAGCCTGTGCTGCCCTCCGGGGCCTCCCGCGTGGCCCAAGAGGGTTGGTGAGGGTTCTCTGGTGGATCAGCCCCAGCACCCACCCCTGTCCCACCCTCCTCCTTGGAAGACCCCTGGATCCCCCCTGCCCAGGCCCAGGCCCCCACAGGCACCCCCAACGCAAGTTATGTCAAGCTGGCCAAACCCACCCTGACCACACCCATCCAGTCGACTGTGACCACCCGGCCATGCCCACCCTGCCCATGACCACCCAGTTGGCCATGATGACACTGGCCACGCCATCCTCCTCCCCCGAGGGCAACCACAATGAAATCGAGTTTGACACCCCTGGGCTAGAACAATAAAACAGCTAATTGAAATGTTACCTGTGGGTCTGGTTGTTTGCTCCTGACACTTTCAACTTGATTACATTTGCTGACAAGAATGGTTTTCTATATTTTCCTTTTCCCTCTCCCCTTTATAAAAAAGAGAAATGGCATGGCATTGACTTTGACTTTTTTTAGTTGTAATTTTCAGTGTGTCTGACCTTGGCTCCATTGGTTGAGAAGGGCATAGTTTTATTAGAAGTCA